GTTGAGCAACAACACACAGGAAAATGCACACTTACACTTACACACACACACACACACACACACTTCGCACACACACACACACTTACGCACACACACACACACACACACACACACACACACACACACACACACGCTTACACACACACACACACACGCTTACACACACACACACACACACACACGAGCACACACGAGCACACGCACACACACACACACGAGCACACGCACGAGCACACACGAGCACACGCATGAACATGCAGACACCTTTTGGATGTGCACCGAGTGTGGTTGGCGATAAAAGAGGGTCCATTGCAGCCAGAGCCGCCAGTGCTGTAGGAGTGCCAGCTGCTGGGCCAGGGCCAATGATATGCGGGCCACACGGCGTGGATTGCAGATCACTTTGGCCACCTCCAGCATCCCTTTCTTCCCTGGTGGATGCGCCTGTCGCCTCCACTGCAGCCACACCACAAACCCAAACCATGCACATGCCACACCCACCACGCCCCCTGCCAACGTGCTCGCTGCCAACATGCTACTGGCCATCATCCTGCACAAACACAAGGCCACCCTTCCACCAACACGAGGTATCACACTGCCCACCGACCACCACCTCGTTGTCCTCCCTTCTTCCGCTTCGTTGTGGTGTTAAAACAGCATCGAATCCCTTGTGTTCCGTCCATCAGAGAAACCTGCACCGCATTGTGCAATCCAAAATCTCACACATTTCGCGCGACGTCTCGCCCCAGCCAGCCAGCGCCGTTGCAAATCCACACGTGGGTGGGCTTGGGCAAGGCTTCTGCCTGCTTGCGGTGCTTGCCTGCTTGCTCCCTAGCGTCGCATGCGACGACGTGCAACGCGCAGGTGCACGTGGTGGTTCATTTTCCAGTGTGCTGTGCTCGGATCGTGCTCACACATCATCGTTGTCGTTGTCGTGGTTTGGCTGCTCCCCCTCCCCCGCTTGCTCCTCGCTGTGCAGTCCTACCTCCAAAACCCAGGCACAAGCATCAACCAAGCCAAGCAACCAAGCCAATCAATCAATCAATCAAATCAAGAGCTCTGCTGGTTGATCAAGACAGAGGCCATCCATCACCCGTCCACCTTGTGCTTGCCCGCAGCCTTGTGAGACTCCGCCGCTTGTGAGACTTCACCGTCGCAATGACCATGAAACCGGCCAAGTTGGTGCTGCAGGACGGCACCTCCTTCGATGGCTTCGCTTTTGGAGCAGACGTGTCCATGGCTGGCGAGGTCGTCTTCCAAACGGGCATGGTCGGCTACCCGGAATCCCTCACCGGTGCGTGCAGCCACAACGTCTAAGTTTGAGTCTGCTTCAGCACACACGAGACACCACAACGCGTGCTTCTCTCCTCAAAGCTGCCGCATGGCCTCGCCTCTTCAGCTGCACTCCTTTTCGCGACAGTGTGATTCTGCCTTTCCAACCGGATGATTCTGCCCTTGCTCACCCTCAACCGCAATCACCAACCTCTTGCACGTCACCTCCCACCAGATCCCTCGTACGAACGCCAGCTGCTTTGTTTGACCTACCCCATGATTGGCAACTATGGCGTGCCTCCCAGCGACACCACGGTCAGTGCACACGGCAGTTGGTGTGTGTTGCATGGTAGTTTCCATCAGCAGCACCACCACCAACACCAACAAACAAGCTGTCATGCTGCCATTCTGTTATGCTGCCACACCGCCATACTGTCATGCCGTCATGTTGTTGGATTGTGGTTTGCCCCTTCTCCTTGTGGCGACACCCCCCTCATCAACAATGTCCTTTCGCATGCCCATGCACACGTGCACACATCCGCAGGACACCTTTGGCTTGCCCGCGTTTATGGAGTCGAACAAGGTGCATGTTGCAGGCCTGATCGTCGCAAACCTCTCCGAGAACCACAGGTGTGAGCGTCGGCTTGCATGCATGGAATCACTGCCAATGTGTGTGCGTATGTGTGTGCGTGTGTGCGTGTGTGCGTGTTTGAGTGCTGTGGCATGGCATGATGCTATTGGAAGAAGGTGTTTGTGTGCCGAATTTGCCCGCTGTTCGGCGTGGGTGGCACATGCACCCACGTTACAGTCATTGCCTTGCTGTTCACATGCTCACATGCATGCATGCATGCACACACGCGCAACACACACGCACCACACAGCCACTGGCAGGCTGCGCAGTCGCTGTCAGACTGGTTGGCATCGCAGGGTGTCCCCGGCATCACTGGCATTGACACGCGCGCGCTCACCAAGAAACTTCGCTCCGCTGGCAGCATGCTTGGCAAGATTGTTGCTGGCGACACTGATCCCGACTCCCTGGCCTTTGTCGACCCCAACAAGGACAACCTCGTCGCCGCTGTCTCGATCAAGGAGCCGCGCGTGTTCAACCCGGATGGCGACGTGACGGTTGTCGCTGTTGACGTCGGCCTCAAGAACAACCAGATCCGCTGCCTTGCATCCCGTGGTGCCCGCGTCAAGGTGTGTGTATGTGTGTATGTGTGTGTATGTGTTTGTATGTGTTTGTGTGTGTGAAATACTTCGTGGTAGCGTGTGTGTGCTTGCTCGTTGCCCCCTTTTCATCACCGCTGTCGTCATTCTGCTTTAATGCCTCCGCTCGTGCTGTGGTTGATAGCTGGTGCCGTACGATTATGACTTCAGCCAAGATGACGATTGCGACGGCGTCTTCCTCAGCAACGGCCCGGGCGACCCGCAGGTGCGGGGCTGTTGGCATGCACATCCGTACGCGCGCGCGCGCGCGGTGTGTGTGTGTGTGTGTGTGTGTGTGTGTGTGTGTGTGTGTGTGTGTGTGTCCGTGCTTGCCGCTGCACGCTTCCCTCAAGTGCGGAGTACCAAAGCTTCCTCAAACGGTTTCCTGACACGAACCACGATCATGCTCCCCCCCCCACCCACGTACACCACATCGCGCACATGCAGATGTGCACGCCTGCGATTGAATCGCTCAAGAAGCTGATCACTCGTCCCAATAACGTCAAGCCTGTCTTTGGCATCTGCCTCGGTGAGGAGCGGGGAAGCAGCTATCACTCAACACAGCGTGTCATCTCAAGTCGTATTTTGCTGTGAGTGTCATCCAAAACGTGCGGCATTGCTCATACTCTCCATCAATCTCGGGCCTTCACATGTGTGCGCGTGTGTGTGTGTGTGCGGTTAGGTCACCAACTCCTCTCCATTGCTGCCGGGCTCAAGACCTACAAGGTATGGCATAATCGTGTGCACCTTTTTGTGGTTTGCGTTCGTTCATGCGTGCCTTCGTTCTGGGTACACTGATGCTGAATGACCTCTGCTTGAGAGCGAAACCCTCGTCTCACACACACACACACACATGCACGCACACCAGATGACCTTTGGCAACCGCGGCCACAACCAGCCCTGCACGCACAAGCACACCGGCATGTGCTTCATCACCAGCCAGAACCACGGTGGGTGTGTCCTCTTTTCCCAACGCGCGTGACAACGCCTTTTCGGACGCACACGCACGCACGCACGTTTGGGTGTGCACACATGCACACACATACATGCGCACATTCACGCACGCACACGTACGCTCCCATGTGGCGTAATTTCTGTGCCAATTCACGCGCAACCCGCCAATGTGCCGTGTGCGTGCTCAGGTTTCGCTGTCGACGACTCGGATCTGCCTGAGGACTGGGATGTGCTATTCACCAACGAGAACGACAAGACGAACGAAGGTGTTGTGCACACTTCCAAGCCGTTCTTCTCCGTGCAGTTCCACCCAGAGGCCTGTGCTGGTCCGCAGGTATGCACTGCACATGTGTGTACGCCTGCCTACACTGAACTGCCAGTTGTGTTCAATTGCACACAACAGAGCATGAACGTGTGACGCAAGCATATTCAGCTCAGCAAGCCAGATTGTGTGTTGATGGTGCATGTGATCCCGCATTGCTCTAATGTGTGATATGTGTGTACATATGTGTATGTGTGCATGTGCACACGTGCTCGTGAGCAGGACTTGGAGGTGCTGTTTGACGTGTTTGTCAAGGCGTGCCGCGACAAGAAGACAACAACGCTCCTGCCAGACATTTCGTCCACCCTCCGTCAGCGCGGTAAGTCACACACTCACAAAACACGCACGCACACGCGCATGCTGACACATTCATACACGCGCACATATTCACACATGCACACACACAAAACACGCACGCACACGCGCATGCTGACACATTCATACACACAGTCTCATGCTCGTTTCCTCCGTTTCATGATCATCTCCTTGTCGGTCTCACAATTGCGTACATCTACGACGCTCGTGTACGCGCGTGCATCTCTACCCGTCATGATGTCAGTGTCTGCGCCATATGACGCAAGCGCGTTTGTGCGCCCGACGAAAGTGCTTGTCCTCGGCTCCGGTGGTCTCTCCATTGGCCAGGCCGGCGAATTCGACTATTCAGGTGCGTCATGTGCACACTCGTGTGTGTATGTGCATTGTGTGTGTGTATATGATGTTTGAAGCACAGCGACAGCATTCTTGCACGCGCGAAACCCTTACAGTCTCTCACCTGAGCATTGATCACCACGGTCACTAACGTGTCACACACGCACACAACACACAACACACAACACACAACACACACACGCACACACACACGCACACATCTGCGGCTGCAAACGGCAGGGTCCCAGGCAATCAAAGCCCTCAAGGAAGAGAACATCCAGACTGTTCTCATCAATGCCAACATCGCCACTGTGCAGACCATGAAGGGGCTGGCGGACAAGGTGTACTTCCTGCCGGTTACGCCCGAGTACGTCGAGAAGGTTCTTGAGTATGAGCGCCCCGATGGTGTGCTGCTTGCCTTTGGCGGACAGACGGCCCTCAACTGCGGGGTCAAGCTCTGGGAAGCCGGCATCTTCGACAAGTACAACGTCAAGGTGTGGGTAGAGGGGTGGGCTGTATGTTTGTGCACTTGCGCATGTATGTTATGTTTGTCAGCGTGTGCGTTTGTGGGATGCACGTGTGATTCCGTGTTGCCTGCAGTGCTTGCGTGCACTTGATCTTGTATGCGCCGTGCAGGTTCAGCAGACACACACACCATGCACATTCACACGCGCTCACGCACGCATACATACTCACACACACACACACACACACACGCACGCATGCATACTCTCACACACACACTTTCACACACTCACGAACATTCACACACACACACACGAACATTCACATTCACACGTACCGCAGGTGTACGGCACGCCCGTGCAAGCGATTGTGGACACTGAGGACCGGGAGATCTTCTCGCGCAAGTTGGCTGAGATCAGCGAGATGTGCTGCCCAAACATCGCCTGCACCACTGTGGAGCAGGTTCTTCAGGTCTGGCAATGGGCTGCCTGCCTTGTTGTTGTCTCATGGTGACACTTGACCAGGCTGTGTTTCGAGCATCGCAGCACTTGGCTTTGATCTGTCTGTTTTGCTTCTTCTGCTGCTGCTTCTCAGCCTTTTGGTTTTCATGCCCCTCACACGCTCAACCACCTGCGCATACGCGCTCGTAACCATTGCTCCCTCCACTGTCACCAACCCATTATTATCAGGCTGCGGAGAAGATTGGCTTCCCCGTGATGATGCGGTCGTCGTTTGCGCTTGGCGGGCTCGGCTCTGGTGTCATCTACGCCATGGACGAGCTGAAGGAGAAGGCCCGGGTCGCCCTCGCCAACTCAACGCAGGTGTGTGTGTGTGTGTGTGTGTGTGTGTGTGTGTGTGCGTGTGTGCGTGTGTGTGTGTGTGCGTGCGTGTGTGTGTGTGATGTGTGTGTGTGTGTGTGTGTGTGTGTGTGTGTGTGTGTGTGTGTGATGTGATGTGATGTGAGGATCGAGGGAAGGGACAGGGTTACACGGGGCTGTCGTTGTCGAGGTGGGGGGGGGGCGGAAGGAAACTTGGATTGACTACCAACATGGACACATCGCCAACACGCAATGCACCACTTCACCCTCCCACCCTCTCCCCCCTCACGTCTACTCACGTGCGTGCACACGCCGTTGACGCAGGTGATGCTTGAGCGGTCGCTTGAAGGATGGAAGGAGATTGAGTACGAGGTCGTGCGCGATTGCGAGGACAACACCATCACCGTCTGCAACATGGAGAACTTCGACCCTCTCGTGAGTACGCTGCCATGTGTGTGTATGTATATATGTGTGTGTGCACGTTTCGTGTGTGGGTGTGCTGCTTCTTGCCTCAACTTGCGTGTGGCTCATGCGCTTCAAACGTTTTGCTGCTCAGGGGATCCACACGGGCGAGTCCATCGTCATTGCACCGTCGCAGACGCTCAACAACGACGAGTACAACATGCTCCGCTCAGGTCAGCTGTGAATTTCGTGGTGCCATTGTGTGGTCACTGCACATGCATGGCGACTCAGTTTTACGTTGAAAACACAACCACTCCCAACGTCTACATACGTCTCAACACACACACACACACACACACACACACACACACACACACACACACACACACACACACACACACACACACACGATTCTTGCAGTTGCGTGCAAGGTGGTGCGACACATTGGCATTGTTGGCGAATGCAACATCCAATATGCGCTCAACCCACACTCGCGCGAGTACTACATTGTTGAGGTGAACGCACGCCTGTCACGCTCGTCGGCGCTTGCCAGCAAGGCAACAGGATACCCACTCGCATATGTCGCCGCAAAGCTTGCCCTTGGTGCGTCACGCAGCAGGGCTAGGTTTAGTGTTCAGACACAGTCCCTTGTTTGTGGTTGGCGTTCGCGTTGCCTTTGTTCATATCTTGTTGTCGTGTTGCATCATGTACGCTCGCACGCCGTCCCTTCTTCGCGGCAACCTGTCGCTTGTCTGACGATTTATCTCTCGGTCTTGTGTCCTGCTTATGCCACCAAACGATGTCCCACATCCCACATGCCATGCCCCCCTGTTCACATGGCATTGCAGGCCACACGCTGCCCGAGCTGCGCAACTCTGTGACGCGCGAGACCACGGCCTGCTTCGAACCGTCGCTCGACTACTGCGTTGTCAAGGTGCGCTGCATGCTCTGCGTGCCTGTCTGCGTGCCTGTCTGTCTGTCTGTTTGTTTGCCTGTAGTTGGTTTTGTTTTGTGTATCTCATGGAAGCATGGTTTGTTCGGTTGTGTGCGTGTGTGCGTGTGTGTGTGTGTTTTGTGTGCAGGTTCCGCGGTGGGATCTGGGCAAATTCCCAACTGTCGACAAGCGGCTTGGCACAAGCATGAAGTCTGTTGGTGAAGTCATGGCAATTGGCCGCACATTTGAGGAGGCGTTCCAGAAAGGTGCGTTGTGAAGTCTTGGCGTGCATGATGTGTGTGTATGTTGTGTGCCATCGGGGGTGTGCTTGAATTGATGTTTATCTGTATGGGTGTGAGCGTCCACAACATTCTCGTGCATCCTCGCGTGTGCTGTAGCGTTTCGCCCTTATCTGTGCTTGCCGCCCAACGCTCATCCATGTTCATGTTGATGATGATGATGATGATGGTTCAGCCCTCCGCATGGTGGACATGGGCCACGTTGGCTTTGATCACACCGTCCACACCGAGGTACACGACCACGCACACCTTGCACTCGCAAAATCGCCACACATACACACACGCACAAACATTCACGCACATGCACGCACACACGCACGCACACATACTCATTTGCACACACACACATACACACACACGTACACCCTCCCATCTGCGCGTGCATCTGCGCGTGCTGCAGGTGGCTGAGAAGCAGCTTCGCTTCGCCTCTGAGGAGCGCCCGCTCGTCATTGCCGCCGCACTCGCTGCCGGATACACCGTCGACAAGTGCGCTCGTGTTCTCGTCTTGATCGTGGTCGCAGTGGTTGTGCAGGGCGTGTGTGTGCGACCAATGTAGTGGTGGCGTTGTGCTGGATGTGCATGCAGTGCAGTTGTGGTTCTTTGGTTGATGTAGGTGTTAGATCATGCCTCCCTCGTTGCTGACACATGCCCAGCTCACCCCGAACACACCTCTTGTGTCCTTGTGCGCGCGTGACGGCACCACCCTCAGGCTGTATGAGCTGACGAACATTGACCGGTGGTTCCTGCACCGCTTGAACAACATCGTGCAGCACGCGCTCACCGTCCAGCAGCACGACATGGCCTCGCTCCCCGTCACCGCTCTGCGCCGCGTACGTGCCAGCACACACACGCACGCACGCACGCACGCACGAACAGGGGAAACACACACAAAATCAGCGGATGCACGCGCGCACACTCACGCACACACTCACACTCACACTTACACTCACACTCACACTCTCTCGCACCGTGCATGTGCCCTTGCTGCTTGCAGGCAAAGGAGCTTGGCTTCTCGGATAAGCACATTGCCAAGCTGGTGAACGGCAATGAAGTTGGTGTGCGCCAGATCCGAAAGACGCACGGCGTTCTTCCGTGGGTGAAGCAGATTGACACCGTGGCTGCCGAGTATCCAGCATTCACCAACTACCTCTACCACACGTCAGTTGTTGCTTGCTCGCCTGCCTTCGCGAACCTACACGCACACACACACACACACACACCATCTGCGTACACATCTGTGCTCGACTGTTACGCTGGAGTTATGTTGTGAGGTGGCGATGCGCAGTTGTGCACTTGGGCCTGCACTCATGTGTGGCTCGCCTCCCCTTATTTCCACATGCCCCCCCCCCCGCCAACGCACATTGATTGGTATTGTACTGCCAGGTACAACGGCTCCAGCCACGACGTTGAGTTTGAGGGCGACTTCACCATGGTCCTCGGCTCTGGTGTCTACCGCATTGGCAGCAGGTGCTGTGACACGATGTGCTGTGGGATGTGGTGTGGCGTGGTGTAGCCCGGTATGGTGTGCGATGTGTGCACAAAGTTGGGTGATTGTGGTGTTACCTTTCGTCACCCATTGCACTTTGCAAGCTTCACTCTCTCATACCCATGTGGTTACTCGCATGCATACACCTTTGGACCAACACACACGCACACACACACAATACTACAACCACAGCGTGGAGTTTGACTACTGTGCTGTCGGGTGTGTGCGGGAGCTGCGCCGGCTTGGACGCAAGACAATTATGGTCAACTACAACCCAGAGACCGTCTCCACAGACTACGACGAGTGCGACCGCCTGTACTTTGAGGAGCTCACGTTCGAGGTGTGCATCGTGTGCATGTTGCAGGGGTGCAAGAGTGAGACGTGTCTGTGGTGCACTGTTTCGCATGTCGCTTCTACCACTCCCGCTCGTGTACATGTGCGAACACACACACACACACACACACACACACACACACACACACACACACACACACACACACACACACACACACACACACACACACACACACACGCACGCACACACACGCACACTTACGCACATGACTTTACACACAATGCACACGCGGGGCAGACGGTGATGGACATTTATGACCAGGAGGATGCGCGCGGTATTGTGCTTGCGATGGGTGGGCAGATTCCAAACAACATTGCCGACGCCCTGCACCGCGCACAGGCTCGCATTTTCGGCACCTCCCCCGAGATGATTGACAACGCGGAGAACAGGTACAAGTTCTCCCGCATGTGCGACACGATTGGCGTTGACCAGCCCCGCTGGAAGGAGCTCTCAAGCATTGAGTCTGCAAAGCAGTTCGCACAAGAGGTGAGAAACATCGCAATTGTATGCATGTCATGTGTGTGTGTGTTGGACATTTCGTCGCCAGTGCTTTGGATTCGTTGCACCTTTCTCCGTCATCACTCGCTCACCCAGCACCACTTGCTCGCTCCCTTCTGCCAAACACACTCAAAACCATCGTGCCCCCTCCCCACTCCAATCCACCGCTGCTTCGTCGACAGGTTGGCTACCCGTGCCTGATGCGCCCGTCCTACATTCTCAGCGGCACGGCCATGCGTGTTGCGCACAGCCCGGCCGATCTCGAGCAGGACTTCAAGAACGCCGTCGTCGTCTCCCGCGACTACCCTGTCGTGCTCACAAAGTTCATTCTCGGTCCGTGCGCAAGTGTGTGTGTGTGTGTGTGTATGCGTGTGTGTATGTATGTGTGTGTGTATGTGTGTGTGTACATGTGTGCGTACATGTGTGCGTACATGTGTGATGACGTCTCTCGCCTCGTTGCCTGTGCTTCCTCCCCCCCCCCACTTGCGCCTCATCGTGCTTTGATGTGGCTGCTGTGTTCATTACATGCAGATGCAAAGGAGATTGAGATCGACGCCATTGCTGACCGCGGCAAGGTTCTGATTGCGCTGCTCTCTGAGCACGTGGAGAACGCAGGCGTGCACTCTGGCGATGCGACCATCGTCCACCCGCCACAGGACCTCACAGAGAAGACCATGAACGTGCGTCTGGCGTATGATTGCGGCTGTGGTGGTTGGAGCTGCTGTTGTCCTGTACAGGCGGAAGGCTGCACATCGACGGCTTGTGCGTGTGGTGTGTGGTGTAATGCAATTACCAAGGGCTCGCGATGTGCTCACCATCACCCCACTTCCAACTGCGTTGTAGGGCTGCCGCGAGATTGCTGCCAAGATTGCTGCTGCCCTCCACATCACTGGGCCCTTCAACATCCAATTCATCGCAAAGGTGTGCATGCATGAAATGTATTTGCTGTTGTTGCTGGTAGCTTGTTTGCTGCTGCATCGTTGCAACTCTCACTGACGCGAACCGAACACACGCACGCGCATTCACAGGATGACCGCCTGAAAGTGATTGAGACGAACGTGCGCGCATCGCGTTCCCTTCCCTTTGTCTCCAAGACAGCAGGCATCGATCTCATCTCCCTCGCTACCAAGGTGCGCTTTTGATTCAGAAGGAGGGAGGGTGTTTGTATGTCAATGTGTTTCTATGTGTGTGTAAGAGGACACGTTTGTGTGTTTATCGATATGCGTCTTTGTGTGTTATTTCACGTCTTGCGTACGCAGGGTAGAGCAACCGCATAAGACACACAACCTTCCCTCACATGCCTCCCCGCCCCTTCCATTTACTCTCTCTTCTTTCGTACAGGTGATGGTTGGTGAGCGCGTGTATGTCCCCGAAATTCCTGAGATTGGTCACGTTGGCGTGAAGGTGCCCCAGTTCTCCTTCAACCGTTTGCCAAGCGCCGATCCCACGCTCGGTGCGTGTGCGTGTGCATATTTGAATGTGCGTGGGTGCTCCTGCATGAGACCGTGGTGGATTTGCTGTCAGGGATCATGTGTTCTGCAGCCATTGCTGCCTCACTTCGACACACCCCAAATTCACACACACACACACACACACACACACACACACACACACACACACACACACACACACACACACACACACACACACACACACACACACACACACACGTGTGCATTGGCGCACCGACACCACCACAGGTGTCGACATGATCTCGACTGGGGAGGTTGCATGCTTTGGCGCCACGCGGGAGGAAGCGTACGTGAAGGCCATGGTAGCCACCAGCTTCATGATCCCAAAGCCAAACGGCAACGTGCTGCTGAGCATTGGCGGTTATGACGGCAAGAAAGAGTTTCTTCCCTCCGCCAAAGCCCTGCTGGATCTCGGCTTCAAGCTCTTTGGCAGCATGGGTGTGTGGTGACGGTGAAAGCAAGGAGAAGGGTGTTGGGCATGTGAGTGTAAGTGTGTTTAGTGTGTCAATGTGCTGTTTGTGTGTGTAAGTGTGTTTAGTGTGTCAATGTGCTGTTTGTGTGTGTGTGTGTGTGCGTGAACGTCGTTTTGCAAAGTGACACACGTCGTGGCTCTGTGCCTCACTCCCCTGTCTGTCACTCCTTCTCATCTCATCGTGTGCACCCACCATGTGCTGCTGGGGATTCCAACGGCTGTTCAGGCACCGCTGACTACTACCTGACGTTTGGGGTCGACATCACGCCCGTGAACTGGCTGGCGGACAGCGAGGATGTTGACAGCATCAAGGACGACCTGATTGCCGGCAAATACGACCTCATCATCAACCTCCCCATGCGCAACAAATACAGGTGCAAATACGTGTTTGGATGCGGTGGCCTGTTCCCCCCCCCCCCAAACACACACACACACACACACACACGCTTGCCGTGTGTGCAACGTTCAGCTCGCTTGCAACTGCCACCACCACGCTCACCATGTTCATTGCCGCCACGACGTTTGACACATGACAACGTCTGTCAGGCGCCCTGCCTCCTTTACCACCGCCGGCTACGAAGCACGACGCATGGCCGTTGAGCAGAAGGGTGTGTACATGTGTTTGTGTAATATTTGTTCGTGTGTGCATACGTGTGTGTGTGTGCATGTTGTGTGCAGCTTACGGATTGTTGGCCTTCATGCACAGCCGTGTCGTTGATAGCATCTACCTTTCATCCCCATCACCCCGCCCCTAAAATGCTCACAGCTTCCCTCGTATGCCTTGTGGGATGTGTGCATCTGCAGTGCCGCTCATCACGAACATCAAGTGCGCCAAGCTGTTTGTGGAGGCACTGCGCACGTGCGATGTGTCTCCACACGCGGCACGTGTTGACTGCCAGGCGTCCCATCCCACCCTGTGTCTGCCGGCGCCCATCGACTGCAGCATCGACCTGGACGAAATCACGCCAGAGGGTCAGTCAGCATCGCATGCAGTGAATGTCCACGCACTGGACAAGGCTCTTGTGGTTCCCGTGCGTCTGCCATTTCATTTCGCCTCTCTTGTTGCATATGTGATTGTCACTCTTGCGCGCATGAACACGCACACGCCCACCCTCACGCACGTCATACATTTTCCACGCCCATCACACCGTGTGCACTCTTTTGTCCACACACACACACACACACACACACACACACACACACACACACACACACACACACACACACACACCTGCATGTGCAGCTGCCGCTCGCGCTGGGCAGCAGGCGCTCGCAGGCGGCGCACCAACGGTCCTCATCGCATGCGAGGCAACAGCAGTCTTCAAGACACGCGCAGATATTGCCCGTGCCAAGGCTGTCCTTGAAGAGCACCTGGCGTGCGACTTTGGCCTGCTGCTGCACGCCCCACCGCCCGGGGCCGACCTCGCTTTGCTTGAGCGCGCACATGGCGCCGCGGGCCTCATCATCGACTTTGCAACAGTGGTGCGGCAGCTCGCATGCGTGTGTGTATGTGATGTGTGATGTGTGATGTGTGCGAGTGTGCGTATTGTGTTGTGTGTACAGATGTGTGTGTGTGTGCGTGCGTGTGTGTCGAGGTGACTTTCTCTTTGCCCACTCATCTTCCCCACCCCCTACACTTGATTTGTACCACAGCACAAGGACCTGCCTGTGTCACACCTCCACGCTGTGATGGACGCCTTCCCTGCCGACCGCCCCATTGTCGTGCGGGCAACAGGACACGAGTACGTCGATGCAAACCACTTGTCACGCTTTGACTGCATTTTGCTGTTTCTTTGCAACTTCACAAACATGATCACGCTTTGATGTTTCCACTGCCGACCCATCATGCAACGGCCTCCTCAATCCCCGTCACCCTTCTGCTCGCAACACCATCACCATCACGATCACTAGGCTTGCCTCCGCGCTGCTGTTTGCGACGATGCTTGGCCGCCGCGTCCACTTTGACCGCGTGCAGACGCCTGCGGATGTTGCTGCTGTGGCGCTCGCCCGTGACCAGGGGTACCCCGTGTCGTGCGGGGCTGCGCTGCTTGACCTCTTCCCGCCCGCGCCGAAGCAGGACACCAGCGATCTGCCACCGCTCTGGGATGAGATTGACGCAATCGATGTTATCTCCTCTGGTGCGCTCCCGTGTGTGCGTGTGTCTGTCTGTCTGTCTGTCTGTCTGTGTGTGTCTGCGTATGAGTGTGTGGGTTATTGTGCGCGTGCTTGCCTTTGTGCACGATGTTGAGCCGTTGCTCGTGTTCTTTGATTGTCATGCTTGCATGCATCGCATTTTTGCATCGTTGCATCATTGTCAATCGAGTGCCCCTGCTTGTGAACGTTTTCCAACCATCACTGCCTCATCACCCCGGTGTGTTGCATTCAGGCCACGGAGCGGTGCTCAGCAGTGGGCGCGTGTCGTGCGCGTCGGCGCTGCTCCCGCTTGTGCTGACGGCACTCAGCAACGGCCAGCTCAGCGAGGAAGATGTTCGCGTACGTCATCGCACGCACACAGGCAGTGTTGCCACAAACTTTGCATGTGATCACGAACCCATCATGAGGTGAAACTACATGTAACCTGCGCGCGCAACGTTCTCATGCCCTCGTAATGCCACCACTGTGTGTCATCAGGCGAAACTGCACACCAACCCCACACGCATCTTTGCCATCGACGTCAACGAAGACACCATTGTTGAGGTGTGCGCTGCCCTCTGTGTACACTGCCCTCTGTGTGCATTTCACTCTGTGTGTGTGTGTGTGTGTGTGTGTGTGTGCGTGTGTGTGTGTGTGTGTGTGCGTGTGTGTGTGTGTGTGTGTGTGTGTGTGTGTGTGTGTGTGTGTGTGTGTGTGTGTGTGTGTGTGTGGCGTTATGTGTGCGCGCCCATTCCTCGCGCTGGTAAGGTTGCGACAACATGCAACTTGGGTTGGTTGTTTCGCCACCCTTCACTGCTCACTCACCGCCGCCACATCAACCACCACGTGCTCAGGCTGTTGCAAAGGAGGGCTGCATGTTGCCAAAGGAGGCGGCAGGCGAATACGCGCCATTCCACCAGGCCGAAGTACGCGCATGCAATACACACGTACACGCACATACGAAGTGCGCTCGTGTATGTCTGTACCATTCAACGCTCACATCGACACGCACACACACACACACACACACGTTCACTCACTCACGTTCACTCACTCACATTGGCACTTTCGCTGCACAGGTTTCGGGCTGCGTGTCGCGCGTGATGCTGCACGGATGCGTCGCTTACATTGACGGCAAATTCGCCGACAACCTCGCCACCGTCGCGGGTCCAATCGAGGTGCGCTGCTACTGGGCTGTTGAGAGGGGGTGGGTGGGTTGTTGAGCAACGCGCGCTTGTGTGGAATGTGCCATGTGCCACGGTGCTCCGAGTGCACGACACAACTATTCGCGATGCACCGCATGCACGACAGCTGTCACGTTGATGACATGACGACGTGCGTCACCGCCTGCCTCAACCACGCGTGCTTGTCGCGATGGCAGGTGCATGACGTCCCTGCGACGCGTCCCGAGCCACCCGTCACCGCTGCCGCTACTGTTGTGCGGGCATCAGATGTGCGGGCGCCGTCACGCGAGCGAGAGCGGATTGGTCGCAAGCGCACCATCAGCACGCGCTCTTCCACGCGCGAACTCAGACCGGTACGCGCGCGTGTGTGTCTGCGTGTGTGTTTGCTTGCGCGTTGGTATGTGTTGCCAGTGATTCGACATTGATTTGCGTCAGAAGGCCATCCTGGCAAACTGCGAAACAAGCACGCACGCATGCACACACACACACACATTCACACACACACACACATTCACACATTCACACGCACACACACACACACTCTCTCTCTCTCTCTCTTTCTCTCTTGTCTTGGCTTTAGGAAATCGTTTCGGCTGCAAGCGTGCCTGCCGCTACTGCCACCAGCGCTTTGCGTGGCGTGAGCGTGCCGCCAGCTGTGCACACCGCCGAGGATGTTTCTCTCCGCACCCGCCAGTCTGTGGCGTTTGCCAACCGAGCACGCTGCATCCTCTCCGTGTCGCAGTTCACGAAGCGACAGCTGCACGAGATCTTCAACCTGGCACACGAATGTCTCTCGTCTGGACCGAGCGATGTCCTCAAGGGCAAGGTCTGTGCTGAGGTTGTGGGGTTGTGTAATGTAGGGCGGTGGGGTGTCATGTCATGTGATAGTGTTGTGTGGAGTTGGGTGGGCGCGTGCTGGGTTGCCTTGTTTCGTTACGTGGTGTGTATGGTCTGCAATTTGTGGTTTGTCTTCCAGCTGGCCAAAGGGACGGTGAGCAGCTAACATGCGTGTGCCTTGAACATTCCCCCCGCCCCCGTTCCTCGATCGCCTCACGACGCTTCGTTGTTCGCTTGCTGCATGCAGGTGCTGGCGAACATCTTCTACGAGCCAAGCACGCGCACGTCATGTTCGTTTGCTGCGGCCATGCAGCGGCTTGGCGGCAGTGTCGTCTCCATCTCAGATGTACGAGCCATACACAGTGCCGTGTGTTGTGGCGCTTCCTTCACATGCTTGTCACCTGGTTAGGCTTGCATACGTACATACAGCAAACAAGCACACACATACACACTTTCACACATGCATACGCACACGTGCACGACACAATCAACCACATGCTGTTTGACACATAATTTGCACGTCTCTCTCTCTCTCCTCTTCACTGCATCAGGTATCAACGTCTTCGGTGACAAAGGGCGAGACGTTGACCGACACCGTTCGCACGCTCGAGTGCTATGCCGATGCTGTTGTGCTTCGCCACCCACGCGAGGGCTGCATGGAGGAAGCTGCTAGCGTGATGCGCAAACCGCTCATCAACGCCGGCGATGGCACGGGCGAACACCCGACGCAGGCGCTGCTGGATGTGTTTACCATTCGCGAGGAGCTTGGCACCGTCAACGACCTCAACATCACCCTGGTGCGGCTTTGTGCATGTGTGCATGTGTGTGTGTGTGCGGAATGAGTATTCACAAGGATCTTGGCTCGTCTCCCATTTACGTGCGTGTTGGCATGAAGTTTCACTTGCATGTATGCCACAACTGACCAGCACGCTTGTGTTGCCTTCCCTCTGTGCATCTGTACCCCTGTCAGTTGGGTGATCTGAAACACGGTCGCACGGTGCACTCGCTTGCCCGTCTCCTCAGCCACTACCGTGTCGCCATCAGATATGTCGCCCCAGACTCCCTCCAGATTGTACGTGCCCTCCCAACTGCTACTCGTTCTGTTGACCACACGAGCGTGTGCTTGCTGCCTTGTATTTTGCGTTGTTCTGTCTGTTTGTTGCCTCGTGTGCTCTGTGTCACATCGTACACGTCCCAGCTGTCAAAGATCACTCCATCACTCCCTCAATGCCCCCTCACGCACTCGCTTCTTCCCTCTCGCACCTTCCCGCCTTGTCTCAGCCGGACAAAGTGTACGATGCTGTTGGGGCTGCAGGCATTGAGCAGTCGAAGCACGCCCACCTCGACGACGTCATTGCTGACACAGATGTCCTGTATGTCACGCGCGTGCAGAAGGAGCGCTTCGAAACAGAGGTGCGCACACGTGGCGCATGCGCTGACATGACATGACATGACATGACATGATATGATAATGGGTTCTATACACTTGTTGTGCTGTGCTGGGAAAGCGAAGTGTGAATGGGTGTGCAGTTGTGTCAACATCAACGACACCAACCCGCTGCAAGTCATATGCTTTCGTCGTGTACTCCCTCACGTCTGGGATGTGTCCAACACCAAACGCAACCACCACTGTCGCCACTATGCCGTTTCTGGCTGCAGGCCGCGTACGAGCATGTGCGCGGGTCGTACCAGGTGACGGCAGCGCTCATGACCAGGGCGAAGGAGCGCATGATTGTGATGCACCCG